TTCAAGCCACTCACCACCACTGTCGCTGGGTCAAAATCCTGGAATTTTTTCCCTAAGATCATTGTGGGTCAACCTACAGCACGTGGACTGCAGCAATTGAAGAAAACAGCTTCTCAAGGGCAACTAGGATGGGCAATAAATGCCAGCCAGCCAGCAATGCTCATGTCCCACAAAGTGAATAAAAAAAACTAAATTAAGTACAATCTAAAATACATACCATGTAAATAGTGGTAGATAGATAAGGCCTCGGCCTCTAAATTCCAACCAACTTTCTGCTCCGGTGTAGGCTTGTAAGAACACTGACACCATATAAATGGCAAGATGAGCAACACAGCTGTATTTCTAAGGGAGCCCATTTTGGGTTTGTGGATTGATTCAAAAGTGATTTTCAGTTTGTTTCAAACTTCTCTGCAAATATTCTAATTAGCTTTAGGAAAGTTGTTCTTCCAGCTGGAATGCCTCTATAAATGAAAGCTGTTGATGAGCACAGTGATGTTGTGTCCATACCACTCAATAGACTTGTTAGAAAATTGAAGGTCTTGTGCTTAAAGGTGCATTGGTCAAATAGGTAAGAAATTAGCTAGTGTAGTGGTTTAAAAAATTGTTTTTCTGACAATAATGGTTCCCTTCCTCATTTCCCCAAAGTTTCCACATGGTGTGAAATTAAGTAATGTATTAAACAGCAAATGAGATAGTAAGAGACCTCAGGAAGAAATCGATTCGAGAAATGGTAGATGCGTAGATGACACAATTTTAATGCAGAGAAATGTAAAGTGATTTGTTTGTGCAAAGAGCAAGGCAAAACAATATAAGCTATGTTTTATACATTTTTCCAGTGGGGTGCAAGAACTGAGATACTTGGGCTGGTATGTACGTAAGTCTTTGAAGGAGGCAGGATAGGTTGAGAGACTGCAAAAAGTTTTAAATGATTCACTTTTTATAAATAAAAATACAGTGTACAATGGAAGGAAGTTTCAACAAACTAGTTAAGGGTCTAGCTGGGGAATTGTAGCCAATTGTGAGCAGCATACTTGAGGAAGGATGTCAAAACTGTAAATGTTTCAGAGATTTCCCAGGATGATACAAGGGGTGAAAGTTATTTAGTTACGTGCACAAAGTGGTGTTACCTCATTAGAGCAGAGATAGATAAGGGGTGATTTAATAGACTGTTCAAAGTCATGGACGTTCTCCCAGAGTAAGTGAAGAGTCTTTTTTTAATGTTGAGGGTCAATAACTAAAGGACACCTGATTACCAAATCAAATTGAAGGAAAATGATGTTAATACGTAATTTATCATCTGGAATACAGTACCTAATAGGATAAAGGAAGTGTAAACTTTCATAAAGAGATTGATCAGTAGCTAAAGGGATATTCGCAGGGCTATGGAAAAGAGCAGGGAGTGAAAGTAATTGGATGTGTATTTTAAACAGCTGATAAATGTATGATAAGTTTCAGGCTTCCTTCTGCCTCCTCTGAGGAGAAAGATGATATTGAATAAATACACAAGAATGAAGATGTTCGTTTCTAATGTTGGTACTCAGTGGAAATGGTTTATACAATTTCACGCTAAATTCCCCTTGGCGTTGGAGATTGGCAGTCGAGTGGGACAGCTGGTAAAATAGCAGGGAGAAATGTTGGTGGGGAGTCTTAATCTCCTGGCCATATTGCCAGATCAGCAAAGTTCTTGTGTCACTTTGTGACAACTGGAGCCACAGAGTTAACCTGTCCTTAGTGACAGACTCACTCATTCCCAGTGGATGTATCTGGTTTGGCACTGGGTCAGGAGTGATATCATGATGTTCTGGTGAGGATAACCGAGAGCTACATCTCCTGATGAGAATGACTAGCTGTTTATCTGAGAGGCTGGCTTCATCTTTGAAATTATCCCTCTAGGATATTGAACATATGACTGTCCAGTCCAAGAAGTTTGAGGGAATTAGTGTCAATACAGCGTGGACCTGGAGGAACACAGCAGGTAAGGCAGCACCTCAGGAGACCTCCCACCCACAGCCTCCAACATCATTATTCCCCTACTGTGCACTGCCCATTTCTATCTCCTTCCCAAAATCCACAAACCTGACTGCCCCAGCCGACCCATTGTCTCTACCTGCTGCTGCCCCATTGAACTTACCTCTGCTTGCCTTGACTCCATTTTTCTCCCCAGTCCAGGAACTCCCCACCTATGGGACATTACCCATGCCCTCCATCTCCTCCAAGACTTTCAATTCCTCGGCCCCCAAACCTCATCTTCACCATGGATTTTCAGTCTCTCTACACCTGTAACCCCCCTCAGATGGCCTGAAAGCCCTCTGTTTCTTCCTCTCTCGCAGCCCAAACAGTCCCCTCCACCCAAACCCCCATCTGCTTAACCGAACTTGCCCTCACCCTCAACAACTTGTCTTTTAACTCCTCCCATTTTCTACAAACTAATGGGGTGGCTAAGGCCACCTGTATGGGTCCAAGCTATGCCTGCCTCTTCGTAGGATACGTGGAACAGTCCCTCTTCCTCTGCTACATTGACTGTATCGGTGCTGTCTCGTGCTCTCATGAGGAGCTTGAACAGTTCACCAACTTTCTTAACACCTTTCACCCCAACCTCTAATTTACCTGGACCATCTCCGATACCTCCCTCCCCTTCCTGGACCTCTCCCTCTCCATCTCCATCTCCAGTAACCGTCTCATCACCAACATCTATTTCAAACCCACCGATTCCCACAGCTACCTTGACTACACCTCCTATCACTTTTCGTAGGGACTGCTCACTCCGCCACGTCGTCATCTGCTCCACACTCCTCACCAACCCTACCACACACAGCACCTTTCCCTGCAACTGCATGAGGTGCTACACCTGCCCCTGCACCTCCAACACCTCCACCCTAACCGCCCCCCCCCCCACCCCGCCATCTCCATTAAGGCCCCAGACAATCTTTCCAAATCCAAAAGGGATTCACTCGTACATCCTGCAACCTGGTCTACTGTATCCATTGTTCCCGATGTGGTCTCCTGTGAGACCAAGTGCAGACTTGGTAATGGATTTGTGGAGCGCCTGTGCTCTGTATGCTATAATCAACACCACCTTCCACTTAATAACCATTCTAACTCCCCCCTCCCACTCCCTTGGTGACATGTCAATGCTGGGCCTTCTCCAGTATCACAATGACAGCACAAAAACTGGAGGAACAACTCCTCATATTCTGCCTCGGGAGCTTACACCCGATGGCCTTAACATAGAACACACTAGTTTCAAAATCTCCCCACCCCGGCCTCATCCCCGCCTACTTGACCTGATACAACCTGTCCATCTTCTTTCTCACCTATCACTGCCTCACCCTTTCCATTGACCAATCTCCACTACCCCCTACCTGCATCCACCTACCACCATCCCACCCACCTTCCCCCGATCCCAACCCCTCCCTCTATTTATTTCTGAGCTCCTTTTCCCCCTCCCTAGTGCTGATGAAGAGTGTAAACCTGAAACATCGACCTTCCTGCTCCTGTAATGCTGCCTGACATGCTGTGTTCCTCCAGCTCCACACTGTGTTGACTCTTCCAGCATCTGCAGTTCTTGGTATCTATTGAGGAATTAGTGTTGGAATTGCATGAAGTCTGCTGCGAAGCTAGTGAGATAATAAATGCATCAGATGATTGTGCTAAGGGCATTGGCTGATGAAAGAAATAGTAAGATGAATAAAATGCAATTTTTCACAAAATATTAAATAACATTGTTTTAGGAATCAAGCTGCGTCTTGTGAGAATGTTCAATCAGTTGGATCTTATTTTATATAGTTTGGTGCAGAAGGACCTTTTTAAGATCTATTACATGGCAATTACATAGGGCATTGATAAACAGGACATTTAGTTTACGTGGAATGACTGACTTGGAAAGAATTTCTATTTATGCCTTTCTATAGATTAACGGTTTAAATTAGTCTGATTACATGTCCCCCCCCAACATCCATTATGCACAATGAATACCATGGCATTCAATGCTTTAGCCTGCCAGTGGAAGAGCTGACTTTCAACTAAAGAATTAAAAAGGATATAAAAATAATTTTAATCAGACAAATTGAAATTTTAAAGACTCTTTTCAATTGACATTGTTGAACTTGCAGTACATGAACACTATTTTATTTATATTGATGGTACATGGTGGCCATGGGGGTGAGAATGGATTGAGGATGAGAATCGTATTTCAGGCATGCGGCGTTTGAGAGCTAAGCCAATGGTATCCTTACTAAGTGCTAATTGAATTCACAGTCTCCAAATTATATTTGAGATTGGAGGAGGTAGTTTGAGGGAGCTTGGAATCCAAATTGGGTCCAGTTAATTTAATATGTCAGAAAAGGATGTTAAGTATTAGTACCTGAGATATTGGATTTATCACATTGAAATATTGCAGTTTGGATGATGAGTAAATTGGCACACTTCATCTCAGGACTGCACTCTCAGATATAGAAACTAGTGTCTTTGCTAGGTTGAAACAGCTATGTTCAGTTCCTCAATTTTGCTAATCTAAATTTAAAAATGTGCATTTCTAAAGCAGTTTGGTCAAAATTACATTATAAGAGTTTTACAAATGAACAAGGAACGTGGGAATTATTCTGGGTGACAAAGTAGATGCGTAAATATTCTAAAGATAGGACAATACATTGATAGTGGCCATACCCTGATGAAAAAAAGTGAAAAGTAAATTAAGACTTGCCTTTTATTGTGTTTCTGGTGACACTCCAGTGCTGTATCTAAAAGTGTTTCCAAAACCTCTCGTGGCAGAATTATGAAAATAATTTGTCCCTGAAAAGAGGGAAACAATAATTCTAAACAAATGGAGAGCAATCCTGTCCTGTTCTGGCCATCTCTTCCCGACTGGAGAGATCTTGGGATTGCTTAGTTGCTCAGAATCTGTTGGAATTCTATGTAAATTTCTCTCTCATTCTTATCGTTGACCCACCCAATATATAAATTTCTACAAAGTTTATGAAAACAAATCTCTCTGTCTGTAGGTAGCTGTGCCTGCCTGGCAAACTGGCCTTCCTTGGAGGTGCCATGAAATGTCTTGGATTCTTAGATGGCGAGCGGCTTGCCTTCCTCCTCGATGAAGCAGTTGCTAAGGAGGCCAGGCTTTGGAAAGTGCCTCTTTTCAAGACCTGCGACAATCAGGTAAGGTGCAGTTTGCCCCACCTTACCAGCAACAACAACATGTATCTATCTGTCAATTTTTAATATAGTGAGAAGTCATATCGTGTGACTCGGGGACATTATTAAACAATACATAATATGCAATCACCGAAGGTGGTTTTAGGGCAGCTACTTAACACGATCATTAAAGAGGTTGATTTTAAAAAGCATCTTTAAAGAGTGATAGAGCTAGTAGGAACTGCAGATGCTGGAAAATCTGAGATAACAAGGTATAGAGCTGGATGAACACAGCAGGCCAAGCTATGATGCTGCTTGGCCTTTTGAAAGAGTGATAGATTGGTGGAGAGAATTAGTGAGAGAATTCCAGAGCTTAGGGCAGTGGTAACTGAAGGTGAGGCTGACAGTGATGAAGTCATTAAAACTGGAGACACTGAGGAAACAAGAATTGGACATTAGTAGTTATCTTGGAGGGCTGCACTGAGAAGTACTGATATGGAAGTCTAGATCATCAGACTAGATGTGAAGAAACTCTGAGAATGGCCTGGAGTTCTTACAGGTGCAGGAAACTTAGTTGTTGGAGTCAATGGGCTTATAACTATTCGATAATAGCCTATCCCCAAAAATGGAGACCGAGCAGTTAAATATTGGAAATTGACTGTGTGAAGGTGAGAGGAGGATGAAAGTTGGAAGCAAAGTTGGTGAAGTCCAGTTCTGGGAAAAATACAGATACAGTCATTAATGTATTGGTAAGATATTTGAGGAAAGAGTCCAGAGTAGGACGGGAACAGGATATTTCACATAGTGTGTGTACATAAAAATTGGGAGCAGAAGCAGGTTATTGAGCTCTTCAAGCCTGCTCTCTCATTCCACAGAATCTGTTTGTATTCTGGATTCTACATTCCCACCCATTTTGTGATTTAAAAGGACTTAATTTTTCTTATGTTACCTTCTTTTATTTGGGAAATGACTTAAGAAATAAGTTGTTCAATGAAAAAAAAAATCTAATTTAGCCACACAGTGTAGGAAACTGGTGGATCAAAATTGTTTGGATCTCTATTCAAAGAAGTGGTGAGCCCTTAGATCATCCTGATAGGGATGGTGGTGCTGGGAAATGGATGGCAATGGTAAATAGGAGACAGTTAAGGTTAAGATCTGAGAAATGCTGAAAATGGAGGCTACCAGAAGAGCCACAGATCTAGATGTGGAGAGGCTTGACAAGTGATGAACAGTAGTCACAATGGAAAGAAATCAATTCAGTGAGGGATGAGTTGGCTAAGAGAGTGGGCCTTTGTCTGGTTTTAGATCTTGGGAAGGTGGTATAGCAGGATTTTCAGTACTATGGAACTATGAAATGTAAATGAAGATGTCCAGAGGAGATGAGGTCAGTGGCAGTTTGATGTTTGGGTGAGTGCTCAGGGAAGGTGAGTTGGAGTGTCAGAGTTGGTGCTCGGCCTCTGCTAGGTATGCCAGACAACTGCACCACACTTGCCAGTAGGTTTGATGACTATGTTAGTATTATACCTGGGAGAACAGAATGAAGTTCATGTTCAACAAAGTTTCTGGGATGGCAGGTTGGAGTAAATAAGAGAAATTGAGACAACTAATGTTACACCAGCAATCCTTGATCAATAGAGGATAAGACGCCAGTGTGAGGGTCGGAGTAGAAAGAGAGAGAGCATTGGAGGTGGGTGAAGGGGTCTACTGAGTAGAAGGAGGCTGAAGGATTCTTGGCCAGTGAAGTGGGCATGGAGGCAGAGATGATGGTAGTAGAGTCCAGTGTTGTAGCAAGCATGAAATTCATTGAGGTGGGCTTATTTGGGGATAAAGCTGAGTTCTTTGCTAGAGAGAGAGATCATTGTGTCAGAGAGAGGAAGGTCCCAGGGTATCATGAATACATGGCAAGAGATAAGATTCAAAGGCGGGGTAGACTCAGAGAGAAGTGAAAAGAGATCTGGAGAGGCATCAGCATCCATGAGTTGTTGTACCTTGTGATCCTTAATACCTGAAAGGGAAGAGAACATGTTTTCATTAAAGCGTCAGACGAGACAAAGGATGAAATGAAACTGTGGAGCGTGACAGCTGTGAGATAAATTTTCTAGTTTTGACCATAGCATCTACTCAGTTGCACAATTTGCTTTTAGTTGCATATTCTGTGACAAATTGATTGCATCAATCTTCTCACTAAAAAGAGACCACATTTAAGATGCATTAATTGATTGTAAACAACTTTTAAACACTGTAAGGTGTTGAAAGGTAGTACATACAGTTTGAGTTTTTCTTTGAGAAATGAACACCGAAGGCTGATTTTGAAAAGCAGGTCCTTCGATCTAGCAATGATCTAACAAAAGGATCCCCCATTCAATCTTTTACCAAAACAAAAAAGACTTGTGCAAGTATGCTGCATTTTCCTTGCCACGTGCAGCACACTTAATTCGGGTCACTACTATCCTATTCCCAACTGACAAGCTGAGTTAGTACTGGCCTTCATTTGTACAGAATTTTGAAAGACTAAAGAATAGGTGTTTTCATATCCTGTGCAAATTGTGTGAGAGTTGTCTACGTACATGAAAATCTGGTGAGAAGGGCAAATAATTGGGCAAGCTGGCTGTCTGCAGATGATCGCCACCTTAACAATTAAATTCTAGGTGAGCAGTTTGTTTGGAGACTTTATTAAGTCACCAGGAATTAAGGACTTTTAGTAGGTCCAAAAGCAGCCTCTTAAAGTCCTCGATTTGCCACTGCCCAGTTACCTGCCTTACTGGTAGGTGACAAAAGTTGCTAGTTTCCAAGACCACATTGAGTCATCATCAGGAAAGAAGCTGAAGGGACCTCCCGCATGCCTTTGCCTCTGACCTTCAGAATACCATCCCTACCCTCCCGGCAACCCCACAAGACGTGAAAGAAGGAAGATTTACCTATTTGCCATTCATCCTCTGAATTGATGGTCTTTGATTGGAGGCAACTCCTAATGAGGTGGGACTCCACAGTTAAGACTGCGATTGGTTGCTAATCTTGCCGGCTGGTTGGAGCTTGATTTGGCAAGCTTTCTCAGCAATGGGATGGCGAATGAGTCAACACTAAATTGGAGAACTGAAGCGGTTGTCTGGGTATAAACATTTCTCTAGCTTTTGTGTTTACAATTAATGCACAAACTGCACTGTTGAGCTGTACTGTTGCTTGCATTGGCAATGAATGACCGCCAACATCCTGCTCATAGCAAGATGAAGCTTGTTTAGGTCAAGTGGCTTGACTTCCACAATATCCTTTAATTTTCCCATGTTTAAACTGACAATGTTTCTTTAGTCTGGTAATCTTAGACATTATAAATAAGAGGAAATTAAGTTGCATGTAAATGCTTCAAGCACCTTGCAATCTTGCAGTGTAACTTCACTGAGGTACCAGTGGAATTTCCAGAGAAACAGTGTAACTTTTCCCTCTGCTATTTACATCAATTTGCCGTGGTGGCAATTGGATATGCATGGTTCAACAGTCATCTATTCTTTCAAAGACTAAGCCCCAGTAGTCTGCATTTTTGTTCTTTGGAAGAGTTGGTGTACCAGTACACTTTTTCCTGGGATATCCTCACTACTTCTATCTGCTACTACTTACTTACTACTACGTTTGCAGCTTTCTTGAAATAATGGCATTAGATACACTAAGTTTTCTTTGTGGTCAAAATGAAAATGAATCTAATGATGCTTACTAATATCCATGCTCAAATGGTACAGATAATTCAGATGAGGGTAGATTTGCAGGTATTTGAAAACCTCCAAAAGATGTTTTCCGACTGGAATAGCTTAATGAAAACAGTATCTCGTGCTGGGCTCACCATTGACATGCATTCAGTGGTGTGAAGTTAATATATTTGTGTACTAGACAGATAATGTGGATAAAAATTTGCTGCAGAATGTGCCTTTACAACTGTAAGCATCCTTCTAACAATGTTAATTACTGCTAATTTTTCACACTGAATTAATTTGTGTGGCATTTAATTCTGTCGTGTGTTTATTGTTAGAGATTTTAAAAATATCAACTTTGAAATGTGTGCTATAGCAAAATCTGGAGCTATGTGCTCACTTTGTCAAAAGTTACTGAGGAACAAATCACAACTTTTCTTTTTTAAATTCTACACTTTAAATCAAAAATGGAACCAATAAAACTTAATTTTTTTTGTAGATAAGAACTGGCTAAAATGGACTGGAGGCCCAAGATTGGAAACCACCAAAATCAGTAATGATTTGTGAATATTTCTGTGAGCCTTTGCTAAGGAAGTGTCCCTTTGAACAAAAATTCCACTGTCTGTTCATCCAGTGTATCTACCAAAAGAAATTGTAAAGTTTATTTTTGTTGAACATTTTTGTATGGCTAGTGAAATGAATTGAAGCCCTTCTCTTGCTACAAAGGTTTTTAAATTATTCTGTTGCATAATTGTTTGGCAAAAGGTTTTAATATTTGGAGATGGACTGAGGTCATGGACGTTTATTGCTCTAAAACCTCAAAACGTCAATTACTTGATTGTTTCCAAGCAATCGTCCAATGATGGCAGGCATAAGATTAGATAGTAACTGAAATCCACTTTTATTATAATAGAAAATGAAAACCTTCTAAAAGCAAGAACTCATAGGAAAGTTAATTTTATATAACTTCTTTTATCATTCCAATTTCTGAATGATAGTTATGTAAAAGCTTGTCATGAGAAGGTCAAGTCCAAAGCAACTTGGCTCCCATGAGCTAGAATCAACTCTGGAAAGGAGGCTTTGTATCTGGCAGAAGTCTCCTGAAATTTTGGCTGTTTTACATGCTGGCAGGCTTCCATGTAGATCAGAATGAATGAAATCCTGGTTCCAGATATATACTCAGCCAAGTCCTCTTGTACATTGCTTGTTTTTTCTCCTTAGCAGCTTTAGATGTGCACATGATCCTTGGATACAGAACTAGCTTTGCCAAAGCCTACTGAGAACAGCAAGTCTCATATTCAATAAATGACCTTTAATGAGATACTTTGTCATTCATAGAACTATATTTAAAGAAACACAGGAAGAGTTGATGTTTTCTCTGACAAAAGGAAGAAATTACTCAGTTAAGAACTCTGAACCCATGGTTTGGTGTCTGGGTGCGGTTCCAATTCGATAATTATCCATTTCTTTCAACAGGGCGCAACTATCACTCCATTGCAACGTGAAAATGTAGTTCTGTGGCTCAGGGACTTGTGCTCAAAGTTTGGTTATTACCCTGAGACATTTTTTCTTGCCGTTAGTATTCTTGACCGACTCTTGGCATCTGTCAAGGTAAGATTTATTTGCCTAATCGTTATATATATGTATTTAGTTTTGCAGTTTGCTTTCTTTCTTGATATTACGTCAAACCTTCATGGTATGAAAGTGGCTACTCAGCTGATGATAGTGAAAGGCTAAAACTTGGAGGAAGCTGTTGTAGGGCTAAGAGTGGGAAGTACTTTTGCGGAAATGTATTATAAGATTGTTAATTTAGTTTTCTGTCCATTTGCTTTTTGGAGATCATTACTTCAAAGGATATGAAGTTACAAAAGTAGGGAAAAAAAGTTGTCAACCAATTCCCTGTCCCCCCCCACTTTCATTGCTTTAACACCTTTCTTAATTTCTGAACATGAGAGTAGCATTTACAAACCCCAGGCAGGAAATGACTTCCTCTTTGAGGAATTGTGTGTGATGAAGGAAGAAACAGGATATTTTAAGATGAGAACACAACATTTGTACCAGGACTGTTTTTTTTTCCAGTAAAATGAAACAAAGAACTGCACATGCTGGAGATCTGCAACACAGAAAAACTTAAATTACTGGAGAAACTCAGCAGGTCTGGCACAGATCTGTCTCCACAGATGCTACCAGACCTGCTGAATTTCACCAGCAATCTCTGTTTTTGAGTTTATTTTTCTCAGTGACAGTTATTGATTTGGAACTGTCTAAAGGTTTTAATGATCAATGGCTTTAGTAATAGAAATGGTACACTAAATGATCAGAGACAAAATTTTTAGCTCATAAATCTGGGAAACAGCGTACAGAACAGAATACAATGAGATTTAATGGAGTGGGAATTAAAATTGGGTGAGACCTTTTGAAGTTGCACAGGACAGAATTTAATTTGGATAGCTGGAGATTCCACCATTGGGGCCTCTACGAGAAAGCCCCCAGGAGGTGAAAACCCTGCATTTCCCAACACCACCCTTCTCTAAGAGCTGCTGGCAATTGTGGGCTGAATACCAGCAACAGTGGAATGCAACCTTGCGTGGGCATTAATTACTCACTTAAGAGCCTCAGTTAGTGGTGGGGAAGCCTTTTGCAGCCTAGACTGAGGCGGGTAAAGGTAGGAAGATGGTGGGGCCCCACGAGTCACTCTGCTGCTCGACTAAAAACCTACTCGCGCACCTGCCTCCGAGCCTGCTACTGGAGTGGGTATTAAACTCTGCCCATGGTATTTGCAGCACAGAAACAGGCTTTTTGGCCGAACATGCACATGACCGTGTTTATGTTCCGCATGACCCTCCAACTCGTTCGTCATCTACCCTTGAGAATATGATTTTCTATTTCTTTCTCTCGTGTGTTTGTCCAACTTCTTTGGAAATACAAATGTGCCATTTGCCTCAGTTACAAACTTGACATTTTAACCATTTATCTGTAGTGGGCATTCTCTGGAATTCTCTATTAAATTTATTACTTGAGATTTTATATTTATGGCCCAAGTTCTTGTCCTACCCGCAAGTGGTAATTTCATCTCTACATCTATACAATAAAAGCTTCCCACCCTGCTCTGTTTCCTAATGAGAACATCCATTCAGTTCCGGTATCATTGTGACAGTTTATTTTTCTTTTGCTCCTTCTCCAGTGTCTCTAAATCCTTTTCAATAATCTGGAGATCAGAAATTTTTTTCAGTACTTCCCAAGTGTGTTCTAATCTTGGTTAGAGAGTTTAGACAAAGTTTTTAGTAAAGCTGTTCCATTTTTCAATTCTATCAATGTCAAAATGAACCCCAGTGTTTTTTTTTTCTCGTGTTTTGCATGGCCTTGTTTAACCTGAATTACTTGGAGATTTGTATGTCTGTGCCCCCACATTCTCTGCTCCTTAACAGCTTTAAGGCACTTGCTCTTACCAGAAAGTATTACTTCACACTTCTCTATATTGATGTTAATTTGCCAATTAAGCACCCAATCTGAAAGTTAATGGGTGGCAGAATGGCTATTCCCCATTTTAGACTAAAATAAAAATGGCTTCCAGCCAGTTTCCAATATTTGTACAACTGTCATGTGATTGTGTAAGGAAAGATAATGCATGAATGTCAGCATTTTGAAGGGAATAGATAGTTACTTCATGACTTGGTTTAGAACAGCATTATTGGGAATATTGGAGTAGGAGTTAAACTTCAGATTAATTTGGTGACAAATTTTATCGTGATTGTAAGGTGAAGGATCTCACTGTGATACAGAACATTATTGCACTTTGAGCACCACGTGTTAGCATCAGTCGCTTCCAAGGCACAGGAGCTCAAGGGATGAAAGCTGGAGTAGTCTATTTGGCCCCTTGAGTTTGCTGCATTGTTTAAGAAGATCCTAGCTGTGTTTTAATGCTACCTTTTTTCTTAATGCACTTGGCTGCCTTGTAGATCTGAAATCTATCAAACTGGTGTTATGACCCAGATGGGAGGAGGGCACTGTCTTTCTCTAGTTACACTATTCCACAGGTCACAATAAAGTTGTTCTCCTTGGTGATATGGTCATTTTACATTTTATTTTAAGTCTAACATAAAGACAATGATCCATCAACTAGGTTTCTTCTAAATGCAAAATTTTGGATATTTTATTCAACAAAACTTATTCAGTGGAGATGCAAAACTTGTTAACATAATTGGTTTATAACATGGAAACAGAATGTTTATCCCTCTAATAACTCACCCACACCCCCAAAAAAAAATTCAAGGTACACACACACAAACACACTGGGTAAAGTTTATGATGGAGAAGAGAGTTTTCTGTCTCTGCAGAGATTCACTTTGTTGGGGGCTGGGTAGGGGGACTTTTCTTTGGTAAATAAGTTTTAGTTCTTGAAGGCAAGAAGGATAAAGTTTGAAATGTTCAGATGGCTGTCAGTCTGATACTCCAGCAGACGTCGATGGGTGTCATGAAACAGAGGCAAATGTCTCTGTGGTCTCGGCAGAGATAACTTGCTCAGAATGCAGCACATCGTGAAGTCTTCCAGTTGCTCTCCAAAAGGGCAGTCAGGTTTCACACTAACAGGAGACATGAGCTGATAGTTACTTTTCTTTCAGCAAGCTTTCCCAACTGAAAACCCAGGGTTTTTTCAAAGAACAGCCATAAAATCCAGCCAATTTAAACAGTCAGTAGACCACCCCCAAACCCCGCCACCATTGTGAGTTTCAGCAATTTTCTGGAACTTTACGGTTTCCAAGAAATGCCTTAGTTAAAAGGAACCAGTCCCACTGTCCTTTTCATTTTACCTCTTCTTTTAAAAATAAAAGCAACTCTCGTGTTCACAATCTTTCAAAGTGAAATTCGCAAAAATTATAACGCAGGTCAGATGTAACAAAGAGTAAAGTTTCCCTAGTTCTGTTCCAACAATGTGTTTCAACCTTAGCCTCCAATGAGGAATTCCATTATACCAGAATTGTTTTAAATGTTGGGAATTCCCTATCCCAGAAGACTCTGGATATTCAGTCCATTGAGCTTAAGGTAGAGGTTAATGGCTTCTTGAGTGCGAACGAGATCACAGGACATTTGGAAACAGGTGGGCAAGTCCATTTTTAGGTGAAATATCAGCGTGCTCTTATTGAATTATAGAGCAAGCTTGAATAGCCGTGTGGCTACCCCTGCTCTTATTTCTTGCTCTCTTATTTTAAGCTCTGAACCAGTTATCCTTTCACCTTCCCTGAGTGAATTTTTACACTCATGCCCTGGGTCCAGGTTCCATGAGGAATTTCCTCATTTGCATTTTGCATCTCATTGATAATTAATTTCGTACTAAGTGGTTAAGAGCTTCCAGAAGCTTGGCAGGGTACAATAAAAATTCAATTTTTTTTTATTTTAAAAAAACAGTGAAGGGTGTAAATATTTGCCTAATTAGTTATGACTGTATATAAACTTGTGTTTTGGAGGGTAAAGAGCATTTTCCCAATCTGCCAAGTCTCCCAAAGGAACACATTTCAGGCTGCACAGCCTAATGAAGAATGAGTCTGAAATCCATGAGACAAAATTGGCAATAGAACAACTTTGAAATTTAATATCAAACTCTACACTAGAACATTACGTTATTTGCTGGTGAACATACTTTAATGTTAACAAACTAGATTGGAATTTATAATTAATCTCTACCATCAATTACATTCTGCTCATCAAAAAAATTCTCACATTTGTGTCACATTCATTAGTAAACAATTGCATTGAATTGGAAGGGAATTGCATTTATGCATATCAGCTCACTCTTTTGTATACTTTGTTCAGGCACAACCAAAGTATCTACGTTGCATTGCCATTTCCAGCTTGTTCGTTGCAGCCAAAATCAGTGAGGAAGATGAGGTTTGTTTTTCCTGTGTTCTTATTGCTTATACAGGTTTAATAAGCAAAACAACTTTTGAACTGTTTGTTATGCACTAATTCATACCAGCTTTGAATATAATACTTTCATAAATAACCCCGCTATCAACGCTCAGTAGCAACAGTGTGTTCCATCGACAAAATGCACTGCAGAAATTCACCAGAACTCCTTAGTGCCTTCCAAACCTGTGACCACTACCATATGGAAGGGCAGCAGATGCATGGGATCACCATCACTTGCAAATTCCCCTCCTAGCCACTCATCATCCTGACACTGTTCGTTCAGTGTCTCTGGGTGAGAATTTTTGGAACTCCCTCCTGAAAGCATTGTTGGGGACTGCAGCGGTTCAGAAAGTCAGCTTGCCACCACCTTTTGAAGGGAATAAGTGCTGGTCCAGCCAGCAATGCCAACATGCCATGAATGAATTTCCAAATATGTTTACATTCCGTTCTCTCCCTTGTTCTCTTGAACAAAGGAGACCAGAATGACTGGTTGATTATATATGGAAATTTCTTTTTCGGTTATTTGAGCATATAGTTATTTTAAATGGGTTGATATCTTGGCTAATGCTGTGGACAGAGAAATGTTCCACGCATACTTGCGTTTTCACCTATTTACGTTGTCAGCAGTGACGGTACAGCTTGTAAATTGCACCCGGATACATTACCTTTGCTCCAGTAATTTGTGACTTTTTAGTATCCATGTGAGACCAAGTGATAAGGGTTAGTGTGCTATTCAACTGTACTCAACTCTTTCCTTGCTCAAATGATATGTCATAGCAAGACACATTGAATAGGGGTTAGGAATGGGAACTCTGGTAAATTTGCCCCTGGACCCAAGGCCACTGAGGCCAACTAATAGGTTACCTTTGCTAAAACCAACTCAGTTACCAAGACCAACAAATGGTTGGTTTGCCTGGCTTGGTATCAACCAACATAGTATCTCCTGACCTCCAAAAGGAATTGGGTATCTACTTGAATAGGAACATGTTCCAAGAATAAGAAGAAAGAGTCTAACAAATTGGAATTGGCACAGGCTAGATAGGCTGACCAGCCTCCTAATCAGATGATCCTGAGCATTTATAGAGTAATAGGGCCACTGGGATCCCTTACAGTGCACTATATACAGCATAGCATTGTTCTGTATTAGTGGGAATAGCATTCTTGTTCATACTCTATTACAGTCTTGTTACCTTGTATGATACTCATTAGTATATTGTTTTTATTTGTTCTGTTCTCCAACCTGTGTAACATCTTTGCAAATTATAGCATTTTATAATATAGCGTTATTTTACTTGTAGATAATAATTGATTCTACATGAAAGATTCCTCAGGCATTAAATATTTAAGAACATTTTATCAATTGTTTTCCATTCTCTAATGTTGTGACATTGTATTAATGTGTGCATGACTATCAGAGTGATAGTAAATTAGCCTGTGTGCCTCCTAAAACAACTGCCCAATTATTATTGTGTTTTAGTAGGACTATATTATACCCCACTTTGGCATACCAGTAATAAGCGATTAAAATCAATCCACATAGGTGTGGCAGAAAGTGTGCTGCAGTTGATTACATTAATGTTACTTCCCCTTTCCTTGGATTAATCCAACACATTTCGAGTTGCATAAATGTAATTTGAATCATGTGCAGCCCATACTGATTTCAGATGTGGTGTTGCTGTTTTATAGGATGGGTGTTTCAAAATTCAAATACAGAAATAAAAATCCTACACTGGCTTTCTCTAATCTAGCCTCAAAGTCTGACAATTTGAGCACAAAGGCTGCAGATGTAGGAGGGAAGAGTGCAGATGATGTTCCCATGCTCTTGCTGCTGTTCTTTTTGGGTGGTTTGAGAGCTGTTTTGGAAGAAACCTTGACAAGTTATTGCAGTACATCCTGTAAGATAAGCACCCTTGATACTCCAGTGATGGAGGCAGTGAATGTCAGTAATGTAGTGGAGTGGCCAGTGTGGAGTTCCTTCAGCTTCTTGACTGCTGGTGCAACTGCAGATATCCAGGCAAGGTGATAGTATTCCTTAATGCTCCCAATTTGTGCCTTTTAGATGGTGGAAAGAATTTTGAGGCAGGTGGTGAGTCATTTGGCTGATCCAATTGAGTTTCTGCTCCATGGTGAACTAGATGCTAACAACAGTTGTATTTGACAATGGTTATGCGACTGAACATTAGGGAGAGCTGGCTAAGGCATCTGTTGGAAATGATGAGGGATGGTTATTGTGATTATCTGGTATTAGTGCATTACTTTGATAATTATCAATCTGAGCTTTGGATGTTGCCCAGGTTTTGCTGCATGTCAGCATAGATTGCTTCACTTTATCTGACTATTTGTGAATGGAATTGTAATCATTAGTGAACACTACAGACCTTATGACTGAGGGGAGATCATTGATAAAATAATGGAAGGTGGTTTAACTGAGGGCGCTGCCCTGATCTACTTATGCAGCAATATGCTGAGTTGATTGATTTCTAATAGCTATAACTGTTTTCCTTTTACGTCAGATATAGCTCCATGTACCGGAGTGTTTACCCCAATCATCCATGATTTTAGTTGGACTGGGATTATTCAGTGTCACATTCAGTCATATATAGGCTGGATATCCATGGCAGTCACCTTCACTACAACTGTGCGGTTTAACTCAGTTCAAATGTGGACAATAGGATGTAATGAGGAGCAAATCTGAATGTCATTTCAGCTTCTGACAATCGGTGAACAGGGAATTAGTGAGTAAATGCAATTTGCTACCGATTGGCTAGCATCTGGATGGAATTTCCGACTAGAAACCATTAGGGTGGTGTTCTGACAGTCACTGGACAGTCACCAGAGGACAAGTGGGGAGTGTAGATTAAGATGAAATAAAATGATAGCACATCAATCTTCCCATAAGCAGTTTCATACAAATATGCCATTGATCAAGTAATAGCTTGGCATGTTGCCACTCCAGCAGAACACAGTGCCACACTGAGCCTTTCTTCCATATAAAGCAATGCTATCCCCTCCATTTTGAACAATAATATTGAATTAAAAACAAGAATCACACAACCATTGCACTTTTGAAATGATTTACTGAACCTAAGAAAACCTACAAAAATGACATTCTGTGCAGACATAGCACAATGATTTTTAAATTATTTCACAGGTCACACTTTTGGTAAAGGACCTCGCAGTGATGAGTGGTAGTGGCTGTTCTGCTAGTGAGATTCTAAGGATGGAAAAGATCATACTGGATAAGCTGCAATGGGACCTTTACACTGCCACACCTGCAGACTTCGTGAACATAGTAAGCATTCAAAGGTCAAGTTCCAGATTGTGAAGTAGCACGTTTAAACTGGTAGATATTGAGATTAGCTCACTAGCGTGGCTTTTTATAAAAACCTTTTTTTTTGCATTGTTGACACCTACACCTGCAAAGCATTATCTACATGGATATTGTTTTCTAACAAGCCATTAGCAATAAGAATGGTTATAATTCACTGTCAACAATAGAGAGTCATCAATTGATTTCAATGCTGCAGTTCATGCTGCTGTTTTTAACACTGAAGAGGCACTGTAGAGGGAGGCAGGGCATTACTGCTTCTGCACATGCACTGGGCGATGTCAAATAGTGAGAACAGACCCCAAAACCAAGTCACGTTGTGAACAAAATGGAAAAATTGGAATGTCTTTCATTTTATTCACAAGCCTAAGCCAATTCTATCCATTTCGAATGTAGTGTGTTTTGGAAAATTCATCAGATCATTTTTAATCATTAGATAGAATCAGTTAGAGTGGAACCTCCATTATCCACATCCCTTTATCTGCAATAATGTATCTGCCAAAACCTTTGCAGAACAAAATTTCGCCTGAAATATTGCTTCATTGCAGTTTCTTTCATTACTTTCATCTCCTATTCTTCACAAGCAACACTACATAAGTTTTGTTTTGCTTCTGTTAGTGTACTTGTATTCAACTCCATATCTAGGTTATTGCTATACCATTCACACCCAACCAAAATTTGAGGTCTCTTAATTAATCTTCACCTCCCATTATTCATTGGGGTATCTCCTTTTGCTTTGGTGGATATTGGAGGTTCCAGCATACCTTTAATTCCCAGATATCAACAAGTTATTTTGACACCATGGCAGCAGTCATGTCCTTAGACACATAGCAGAGTAATCTGGGAGCAAGCTGGTTAGATTGGTGTTGCAGACGGCAGGGGAAGGTCATGGTTTGGCCTGTTGGTTTCCATCCAGTGGCTAACCTAAACATTATTTCCATTGTCCAGTTCCACGCCATGGTGATGTCCAGCCGGCCCCATCTCCTCGACCAATGGCCTCAGATGAAGCCCTCTCTCCACGCCGCACTCTTGACCAGGCAGTTACAGCACTGCATGGCTTGCCACCAGTTACTACAGTTCAGAGGTTCCACGCTTGCCTTAGCGATCATCAGCTTGGAAGTAGAAAGATTAATTCCTGATTGGTTCATTGTGACAACTGATCTGCTAAAAAAAGCACAGGTGGGAGCAAGTCTCAACATTAGTGGTCTGCATATTTACAAAAAGCAAATATTTAGGAGAAATTCAGGCAAATCCAGCCTTTTCTACATTATTTGCATAAGCCCTGAGCCATTTTAATCTGATTAGTGACTAAACGTTTTATTGGTTTTTCATACAAATATGCAGGATACATTTGACTAGATCATCAGTATTTAGCTGCTAAAGAGAATGAATTACTGAGGGCCTACTGCTCGCAAAGGTTAACTCCTGCTTCACATGAGCAAGTAAACAAACGACCTTATCTCCACCTATCTTGACTCCATTTTCTCCCCCTTGGTCCAGGAACTCCCTACCTACATCTGTGGAGCACCCACGCCCTCCACCTCCTCCAAAACTTCCAATTCCCTGGTCCCCAACACCTCATCTTTACCATGGATGTCCGGTCCCTCTACACCTGCATTCCCCATGCAGATGGCCTAAAGGCCCTCCGCTTCTTCCTGTCCTGCAGGCCCGACCAGTCCCCCTCCACTGACACCCTCGTCCGCTTAGCCGAACTCGTCCTCACACTCAACAACTTCTCTTTCAATTCCTCCCACTTTCTACAGACAAAGGGGGTGGCCATGGGTACCCACATGGGCCCAAGCTATGCCTGCCTCTTTGTAGGTTACGTGGAACAATTCCTCTTCCGTAGCTACACTGGCCCTAAACCCCACCTCTTCCTCCATTACATTGATGACTGTATCGGCGCCGCCTCATGCTCCCACGAGGAGCTCGAACAGTTCATTCACTCACCAACATCTTCCACCCCAATCTTAAGTTCACCGGGACCATCTCTGATACCTCTCTCTCCTTCCTGGACCTCTCTGTTTCCATCTCTGGCAACCACCTGGAAACCGATATCCATTTCAAGCCCAACGACTCCCACAGCTACCTAGAATACACCTCCTCCCACCCACCTTCCTGCAAAAATGCCATCCCCTATTCCCAATTCCTTCGCCTCCGCCGCATCTGCTCCCAGGATGAGGCATTCCACTCCCGTACATCTCAGATGTCCTTGTTCTTCAAGGACTGCAACTCCCCCCCGCCCCCCCCCCCCGCACCCCACCTCGGTGGTCGAGAACGCCCTCGACCGTGTCTCCCGCATTTCCCAACTCATCCTTCACACCCACTCCGTGCAATAACAACCAAAACAGAATCCCCCTCGTCCTCACGTACCACCCCACCAACCTCCGGATCCAATGCATCATCCTCCAACACTTCTGCCATCTGCAATCCGACCCCACCACCAAAGACACTTTTCCCTCCCGACCCTTTTCTGAGGGACCACTCTCTCCGTGACTCCCTTGTCCGCTCCACACTCCCCTCGAGCCCCACCACACCTGGCACTTTTCCCTGCAACCGCAGGAAGTGCTACACCTGCCCCTACACCTCCCCCCTCACCCCCATCCCAGGCCCCAAGAAGACTTTCCACATCAAGCAGATGTTCACCTGCACATCTGCTAATGTGGTATACTGTATCCGCTGTTCCCGTTGTGGCCTCCTCTACATCGGGGAAACCAAGCAGAGGCTTGGGGACCGCTTTGCAAAACACCTATGCTCGGTTCGCACTAAACAACTGCACCTCCCAGTCGCGAACCATTTCAACTCCCCCTCCCATTCCTCAGACGACATGTCCATCCTGGGCCTCCTGCAGTGTCACAACGATGCCACCCGAAGGTTGCAGGAACACCACCTCATATTCCACTTGGGAACCCTGCAGCCCAATGGTATCAATGTGGACTTCACAAGCTTCAAAATCTCCCCTCCCCCTACCGCATCCCAAAACCAGCCCAGCTTGTCCCCGCCTCCCTAACCTGTCCTTCCTCCCACCTATCCCCTCCTCCCACCTCAAGCCCCACCCCCATCTCCTACCTACTAACCTCATCCCGCCCCCTTGACCTGTCCGTCCTCCCTGGACTGACCTATCTCCTCCCTAACTCCCCACCTACACTCACCTTTACTGGCTCCATCCCCGCCTCTTCGACCTGTCTGTCCCCTCTCCACCTATCTTCTCCTCTATCCATCTTCTATCCGCCTCCCCCTCTCTCCCTATTTATTTCAGAACCCCCTTCCCCTCACCCATTTCTGAAGAAGGGTCTAGGCCTGAAACGTCAGCCTTCCTGCTCCTCTGATGCTGCTTGGCCTGCTGTGTTCATCCAGCTCTACACCTTCTTAACGCACCATTAGGTTGATGGCTCTATATAATTCTGATTGACAAACAAACATTTTGCTTTCACAATGGTGCTGATAATGCTGTACATACTGATGGGAAAAATTGTATTAATGTCAACCGTTTAAACACCCCTTCTTCTGTAATACAATGGAAATTAAAAGCTGCCTGCAGACATCCTCATTGATAAAATCCTTTTGACCTGAATTTGACATCCAAAAGAATTGAGGTGCATGTTTTCCCATTTTGTCTTTCCAATTCTGCTCTAGCATTGTATCTCAAACATGCAGTTTTAAATCACTTCCAGTGTTCATTCAAACCCCACGAGTTCCAAGGGCATAATCTTAAAGACCTTTGTAGCAGCTCAAATTGAGTCTTCGCATCATTAAAAACGGCCTTCTGTCACTAAGAGATAGTAGGAGCTGCCACTGCTGGAGAATCTGAGATAACAAGGTGTAGAGCTGGATGAACGCCGCAGGCCAAGCAGCATCAGAGGAGCAGGAAAGCTGACATTTTGGGTCTGGACCCTTCTTCAAACCCTTTTTCTGAAGAAGGGACCAGACCCGAAACGTCAGCTTTCCTGCTCCTCTTCTGTCACTAAGCCCAGTTACCAACCCTAACCCTGTGCTAAGCTGGAGATCTAGCTGGTTTTTTAACCCTTTTTTAAATAATAAATATTGATAAGCCTTTAAAACAGTTGAAATAATGAACAGTGAGATTGCATGACCAATGTATACTTTTTTCTTAACTATGAAAGGCACAAATTGATAATCTTCAGCTAAAATAGAATAATTATGGCACAAGAAGTAGCTCACTTTTCAAAGCATAAAACTGATTTAAGTTTCTTTACTCTTCTTATTCTTTCAGATTCACAGCATGGACTTTGTCTACTGTAAAAATATTTTGGCAAAACATGTATTGTCTCAAACAGCAGTCTCTGCTTCCAATATCGTTTACGTATTTGATCCTGTGAATTCAGACCTTGTGAGGCATCAAAGGGGAAGGATGCTTTGCACTCGTTCTCGGGAATATGACCCACACTCTCGATCATCCACTAGAGAAGAGCTGTGGTCAGGTCAGGCAGCCACAATCCACAACAGAGTGGCTCCAGTGAAAACAAGTGAGCAAGTTGCAGTGGAAATCAATGGCAAAGGTATTGACTCGGGTCCAGCTGCACGACAGTTAGCAGAAAACCTTTCTCCTTGCCCACCACTACAACCCATCAAGGATGTGTAAGAATTCCAAGTAGGAGGAGTTAAACAAATTAAAATGAAAAAAGCAAAAGTTGCATTAGAACTAGATATGTGACCAAGTTAAACACAATTAAGATCCTATTTAAATCTAGATCAGTAGTTTCAGGTTTAAATGCAAGGGTAAATTGAATACCCTAGTCAAGAAGCTATGTTAAATAGGGAGTATTGCATTTCAAATTTGGTAAAAACATCTTTTCACGTTACCACTGGTCCACAATAACAAAATATCACCTTCCTCCAGTATGAAAATATTGTAATTGCATCGTTTCTTCTTTCCAAACTCACTCAGTCAAGTTTGTATTTCTTACCCTGACCTCTTTCACATGCAATGACTGGTGCTTAAAAGCTTATTGGAGGGATACAGCCAACTATTAGTACATGCTTCTTTCAAAGACATGACCACTGTGTTCAAGCCTACATGGTGATTGGTGTTAAATTATTAGGCTGGATTTTACTTGCCCTTTCCGGTAGTGTTTTCAGAGGGGAGTCTAAAATAGGTTAGGTGGCTAGCCCACACTTACTGGCTCACCCTGAGCTCACGATCATAAGGTGTGAGAGTTCTGAAATTAGCATCTTTAAGTAAACAATTTATTAGCAAGCCTAGTGACCTGAATAGTGTGCCCGTCCACACTAAAATATGGTTGGCATGAGCAGTCGGCTAGGAGTGGGCAGGCTGTTTCAGCCTACCTTTGGTTGAAGTGGAAAGGAAAGATGGGAAGCCTCAATTAGGGGCATTTCCTATGTGCATTAGGGCCATTCTCCACTTCCTTCCTTGCCCCTTTACCTAACAGAACTCAGCTGTTCATGTGTTCCTCCCCAAACTTTTCTAGGTTCTAGGATCCCCCTCTGCCCTAAAATCCTGGGATGTACCTTCTTGGGTACTTTCTGCATTAGTGCCAGTGCCCACTAGCAAGCTCTGGTGCAGTCAGGAATGAGGGAGTTGCCAGCCATTCAGACTAACAGTCCTAAGAGTGGGAATCTTCCCAGCAAGGGGCAAGACCAGTTTGGGTCACCTATGCCATTTTATGTCTGCAGGGAGGACTTGCAGAGAGTGTCAGCTTCTATCTGATTTTCTTTCTCAGGAAGCCTGTCCTGTCCTTGCCTTATTCTCCCCATTTGCCTTTCAGAATTTCTTGAATAGCAGCTTTTATCATTTTCCTCCCACAGTGTTTGTCCTTTTCACAAGAACTTTACATTAATTGGTATACCCCAGGGTGGAGGAGGCATGTGGGTTTTATTGTTGCCACAGTACTTAAAGTCCATGAGTGTGTTATTTGCCTCCTGCCATGATAGACCAAATTGTTTCTGCATTTCACAGATAACTAATGCATGTACTTTAATATTGCAATTAAGAGTTTCCAAATTCCTAGGGGAGGCAATGGCCTAGTGGTATTATTGCTAGGCTTTTAATCCAGAAACCCAGCCAATGTTCTGGTGACTTGGGTGGAACTGAATTCAATTTAATAAAAAAAAAATTTGAATTAAGAATCTGCTGATGACTATGAAACCATTTGCTGATTAGTGAGCCAATAGGCTTTTCCAACAATGTCCCTGGGGGAAGGAAATCTGCCATCCTCACCTGGTCTGGCCTACATGTGACTCCAGAGCCACAACAGTGGGGTTGAATCTCAACTGCCCTCTGAAATGGCCTGGCAAGCCACTCAGTTCAAGGGTAGCTAGGACTGGGCAATAAATGTGTCTAGCTAGTGATGCCCACATCCCATGAGTAAATAAATTTTGGATGAAGTGATTCAGGCATAAATTGCACGAGTTTTGAGTTTTTTGAACTCCAGGTTCTGCTCAAAACGATTTAATATGAGCCTAAATTCTGCAGTGAACTAGCACAATTGGTCAACCTTTTAGAACCTAATGCTTTTAAAGACATTTGCACGATAAGATACTCATTGATGTAACAACCTAGTGCAATTGTATTCATTCAGCAGTAAATTTGAAAGATTTAAAAATCTTTGTCCTTGCCCTAATAAAGAATTATTTGAAGAGTTTCAAACATCTATAAATGAGTGGCATTCGTGGAAATGCTGAATTGTGATTAACTTGATCTTCACAATTAGTAAGTTTAGTGGGTGGAACTGGCTTGGAGCTCAAAGGTTTTTAAATTAGTGCAAAGATCTTGGAAACTGACCTTTCACTTAATGTAACTCACATTCAGAATTCTTTGATCTTTTGTACTTTTTGGTCCATTGTAGGTGAATTGCAATGGAAGAAATGACACCACCTAGTGGAAACTGCTGGCCACTGTGCAGAGAAAATGCTTCTTTTTTTTTTACGCATTAAAGCATATTTTTTTCCTTTTGGCAGCATCATCTTAAGGTCACAGGAAAATGTGATATGGAGGTGCCGGTGTTGGACTGGGTTGGACAAGGTCAGAAATCACATGACACCAGGTTATAGTCCAACAGATTTATTTGAAAACACAAGCTTTCGGAGCCTTACCTCTTCCTTCAGGTGTTAGTGAGAGAGGTAGTATCAGACACAAAATTTATAAGCAAAACATCAAAGTCACACCACTGATGAGGATGTACTAAACAAACCTAAGATGCTATTAAATCTTTAATCAGTCAGAAGGTTTTAATTGATTAAATGTACATGTAAAGAAGTGGTGACATTTTAGGTCAGACAATGCATGTTAAGTGTGAGGCCTTGTTTAGAATCTGTTTGTGTTTTGGTTTGGAGTCAGACTGGTTTTATTTCAAAAGTAGACATGTGTGTGTGTTTGGAGCGGGGGTGGTGGTAGGCGGGGGTGTAGAAGGAGAGAAAGGGAGTGTGTACGTGCATGTGTGGGAAAATGGGCACTGACCAATGTGTGCTCATACATAGAAATACTTATAAAACACCATGTTGCAACATCCAACTGATCCTTAAATGTCTGCATGATAGCTTTTTCATTCTTCTATCCTGTTAAGAGCCTCATTACATTCATCAATCACAGGTTTTTTGAACTTTTGACCTATGGCCTAAATTTGTCTCTGTGCCTTAAAGCTATTTCTTTTTGCTCTAATCACTCCATTAACTTTTGGAAAAATTATGCAACTGTAAACCAACTTCCAAAGCTGAAAATCCTATGTTTCTTCAAATTTCCTCTCAAGCCGAATCCCCTGGCACTCAGACTAGCCCTGAGTTTGATTGTGCTAACAGTTTTTAACTAGCTCCCCTGCTGTCTCAGTGGCCCGAACTAGACATTGTACTCCAGGTGTGGTCTGACCAGAGTGCCGCACAACTTGATAATTACTTCCTCTTAGCTAGAACAATGGAATACAGCTATACAGGTTTGCGTATTATTGACCTGCCAAGACCCTAGGTTTTTTTTTTCTTCCTAGCTATTTTAACAGCAATAACACCAGAAACAATTCCATTTACTTGATGTGCACATCACATTTGTGCAGGTACTTTTTAAATGGTCTCTCTGATATACACATCGTATCTGTAAAAGTACATAGTGGATTACAATGTAGCAAATAATTCATAGGTCAATGTTTGCACATCTTATGGGGGGTTCCCAGAAACACTTGGTAGTTACTTGGAAAATTTCAAGTCTAAATCTGCTAGATTCTGTGGTTAAAATGTACTAAATATGATTTTTATATAAAAGTTTATGTAGTGACATGAAGTGCAAAATCTAATTTGTGACGTGAACTTTTTGTTTTGGAGAGAGAGTACAGTGTTACCTTATTTCAGTTGTAGTGAGAAATAGCTAAAGGTAATGACAGTATGGGAGAAAGACATACGGTCACTATTTAATCCAATTGCATCAATAGTCCGGAACATCATGAAATTTAGATTTGACTATGATTTCCATTCACTGGACTTCTCCTAAAGTCATCTGTTAAAGAAAGGACTTTGAAAACTTCTGCAATTTGTACCATTTGCAATTGATTTTCTCCTACATTTTAAATTATCATGGAATTCTGAAAAAGTGTTCACAACTTATTAAATGAGTTGGATGCTCTTATTAAAAAGACAAAATTGCTACTTCTGTTTAGTGACCAGTCTGAAAGAATCTGCAGTATTTATGATATTACTTTTATGAAATGTATTTGCCCGATTCCTGTAACAGTTGAGCAGTTACACCATATATAGCAAGGTAGTAACATTTATACAAAATATTACAAAACTTGCATCTTCATATACCTCCCATTTTCTCATTAGGCATTCCTATATGCATAGCCATAAAGGGATGTCTCTAAGGGCTGGGTAAACACAATCTTTAAGATTCTCAATCCATGCTCCAATAGAAACTGAATTTCTGAAATTATGTATTTTTGTATTTGGGTACAAATAAAAGCTGGGACAAAAATAGATGTGGAAAAATATATGGCTTCAGCATAGCAACTGAATAATGTGCCCTGGTCCAGTGACTCACCTAAAGTCTAAACTTGGGCCCAATTTGTTGCGCAGAGTAACATGAGAGATCAGCTATTTAATTTTTACTAAAATCTAAGAATTATAAGCTTACTAAAACTGCTGAAATGCTTTTGGAGGCCTTTAGTTACTGTAAATCTGACATGTTACAGCATTTGCCAGATGACAATCTTTCACAGTGTAATTACTGCATAGTTAGGGAAACGCATTCTCTACAGACTGCAAGAAATTAATTTGCCCAGTGTATCATCTAACATTTGAGAGGCTGATGCAACCCAAGCAGCTAAATTGTTTCTAAAAATCTGTTGTAGGTATGCATTTAGTTGCTTGATTAGTGATGGAGAGGTATGTGTGGGGCAGGGAGTGCGTGCAATATTCAGAATGTGGGGAAGAAGAGTAACTTACTTGTTTTAAAGGCAGCTAATAAAAATTCCTACCACAGACAACGTTACATCAAGTTCATTGTAACCTAACTATATTTTCAGAAGGACAATCCTGGTATGGGTTGCTCTGAGGGTTTGATTGTGAAACCTGTCTGAATTGTGAAGCAAAATCTCATTATATTTAGCTGGCATTTAATTGGATAAATATTTTTTAATTGTGGTGGGAGAAAGATTATTCAAAAATATAAGCTTAGCATGCTTAAATACTGTGATTATTATTGGTGCTATTTAAGCAGAATAATATTTTGTACTCTTGGAAAAAATACTCTGCACTAGTACCATTAGAGGTACGAGACTCAACACTCTGTGTTAGTTGATGGAATATTCCATTTGCTATTCATATGTATTTTCAAAGTTATGTAAATACCGTGCAGTTGATACTGAGCAAGATACTGGAAGCCACCCTGTCTCATGCTGAGCCTAGGACTGTCCCTGTGGAACTTTTCTGTTTAATTTGTACAAGTATGAGGAGGCTGATCAAAAGCAAGAAAATAAAATTTCAATATTTTGAGCAACATCTGTTTCTGGCATGTTTATTTTGGATTTTTAAAAAATTCATAGGATTTGGGTGTCAAGGGCAAAGACAGCATTTAATGCTGATCTCTGTTACCCTGGAGAAAATGATGGGCCTCTGCCTTGAGCATCACAGCCCATGGGGTGTAGACTGTGCTGCTAGGAAGGGAGTTCCAAGGTTTTGAGCTAGCAGTAGTGAAAGAATAGTGATATAGTTCCGAGTCTTCGTACAGTGCAAGAACAACTTTAAACCTCAGAGTCCACCAAATGTCAGTTCAACAACTGCAAATAGATGGTAAATAGCTATCCTGGGAAAGGGAACATGAAGCCCAAATTGGATCAAGGCAAATTGACTGTTCAAACACTATTAATTTGCATTAAAGTCAGCTGAAGTTTACAAGTGGGTCTCAACTGCAAGCCATGAAGACATGCACGGTTTCTTTGAGCAAAGCAGCAAATGCCAAACCATGAGCTCATGCAGCTGAGGAGTACTGTAGGAAAACTTAAAGTCAAGAATCAAGTGGAGCTTGACTGTATAAACAAATTGGAGAGGTCTAATTATCTCAAAAGACTGCTAAGCTACAATTGCACCCACTAGTAGTCACATAGCACTGTCAAACCCCTGACTAAAAGGAACAGTTTCTTGGAGAAATCAAATGATTACATCTAAGGTAACAATATGAAGGAAATATTTGATGTATTGGTGGTCATCTTCCAAAATTCAATAGACTCTGGAGCAGTTTCTACGGATTAAAAAGTTGTAAATATACCCCACTATCTTTTTTATTTACAAAAAAAAGGAGGGAGAGACAACAAAATTACGGACAAGTTATCCTAACATCAGTAGTAGGCAAAATGTTAGAATATTTATAAAAGACATGATCACACTTGGGAAGCACTAATGGCACTAGATAAAGTTGACATGAGTTTACAAAAGGGAATTCATAATTAGCTAATCTGCTGGAGTTTTTTTTTGTCTTCCTGCAGTTATACACAATCTTAGTAAGACCACATGAGTATTGTGTGTAGTTTTGGTCTCGCTATCTAAGCAAGGATAGATTTTCCATAGAGGAAGTGCACCGGGGGTTGACAGGACTGTCCTATGAGGAAATATTGGCTCAACTGCATTTGTATTCACCAGAGTTTAGAAGAATAAGAGGGGATCTAATTGGAAAAATGGAAAATTCTAACAGGGCTAGACAGACTAGATGCAGGGAGGATGTTTCTCCTGGTTGTGAATCTACAACCAGGGATTAGTCTTCGGAAATGGGGTAGGCCATTTAGGACTGAGATGTAACATTTCTTCACTCAGAGGGTGGTCAACTTGTGGAATTCTGTATCTCAAAGCTGTAGAAGCTGGGTCATTGAATATATTTGAGAAGCAGATTGATTTTTTTTTAAGATATTAACAGCAATATGGGCTGTGGAGAGAAAGCAGGAATGTGGCAGTTGAGACAGAGGATCAGCCATGATTATATTGAATGATGGAGCAGGCTTGAAGGGCTGAATGGCCTACTCCTGTTCCTAATTTCGATGTTGCTAAAATCAAGACCTCAATTTTTCCCACTTACACATCAACAACCAACTGGCAGAAGTTCAAAGCAACAGCAAAATTATAGATTGTGAACCAACACCATCGGTACATGGCTTGCAGGGTTGTTAGCAATCCACAGGGAAGTGCTCAGAGAAAAATAGGAATGTTACAAGTAAAAAAGGGAAAAGGTTCCAGAAAATTTCCACAAGTCCTGTGCAAAGACAGCCAAAATTCTTACACAACTGACATCAAAAGAGGTGGTTGAATGGGAGAAAGTCCCTGTTATTGTAATATTCATACCTTGAAGATCAGTGTAAATTATTAGCTGAGGAAAGTATACCAATCTAATCCACAAGTGGTGACCTTACTCTAAAGACAGTTTTAGAAAAACAAGCCCTCATTAATGAAAGAAATCAGCGACAGAGGTGACTATGATCTTTTGAGGAATAAAGTGGAAAAAATGTAAAGGAGAATACAGAAGTTAAGCCTCAAGCATCTTCCAGTACACAGGGAGGTGAATGTGATTAAGACTACACAAGAAGTGGCAGACTCTGGGCAATAGCAAGGCGTCCAATATTCCATAAAATTTGAAGGTGTAGGTATTGGAGGAAAGCTGCCAAGGAATCTTATTTCTGTTGAAGAAATGCTAGAAGAGCCACATTTGAAGTCAGTTCTTGAAGTTACAAGTTCAAGATACCACACTTCTTCCTGACATCCCAAGAACACTGGCCTACATACGTAAAGGAGGGTTCTCCATTTGAGGCATGTGAAACAGTCCTCCTGCTGATAAGGAACAATTTGTATCATAGATCAAGAAAATGGTGATGTCAGATTTTTGCAGCAGCAGCGGGAGCGTTGAGAGTTGAGAGTGAGGACTAGGGGGCTGCCGGGAGGTAAGTTTCCCATTTAAATACTTACCTCGTGGAATCAGCGGCCTCCATTTTTGCTGCAGCAGCAGCGGGAGCAGTGAGAGCAGGAAGGTAAGTTCTTCATTTCGGTAGTGGAGCTGAGTGGAAGCAGTTGAATTGCGCTCTGGGAACGTGAGTGAACTGATATATTTGGGCAGTGGCAAAGGTAGTAATCTCAGGATTGCTACCAGTGCCACGTGCTAGTCAGAGTAGAAATGAAAGAATAGGCAGGATAAATGAGTGACTTGAGAGATGGTGCAGGAGGGAGGGGTTCAGATTTTTGGGACATTGGGACCGGTTCTGGGGGAGGTGGGACTATTACAAATCAGATGGTCTACACCTGGACAGGACTGGAACCAATCTCCTGGGGGTGCTTTTGCTAACGCTGTTGGGGAGGGTTTAAACTAATGTGGCAGGGGGATGGGAACCAAATGAGGAGGTTACTGGACAGTAAGGAGGTAGTATCTAAAGCCTGTATGGAACTAGGTAATGAAGTCAGAGTGACTAAGGGGAAGAGTAGGCAGAGAGCAGATGATGAACACAAAAGGACAGGTGGTCTGAGGTGCATTTGTTTTAATGCGAGAAGTGTAGTAGGTAAGGTAGATGAACTTAGGGCTTGGATTAGTACCTGGGAGTATGATGTTATTGCTATTACTGAGACTTGGTTGAGGGAAGGGCAAGATTGGCAACTAAATATCCCAGGATATAGATGCTTCATGCGGGATAGAAAGGGAGGTAAAAGGGATGGAGGAGTTGCATTACTGGTCAAAGAGGATATCACAGCTTGCTGAAGGAGGGCACTATGGAGGACTCGAGCAGTGAGGGAATTTGGGCAGAGCTCAGAAATAGGAAGGGTGCGGTAACAATGTTGGGGCTGTACTACAGGCCTCCCAACAGCGAGCATGAGATAGAAGTACAAATATATAGATTTAATTTTCCCAACATTGACTGGGATTCACTTAGTGTTAGGGGTTTAGATGGAGCAGAATTTGTAAGGAGCATCCAGGAGGGTTTTATAGAGCAGTATGTAAATAGTCCAACTCGGGAAGGGGCCATACTGGACATGGTGTTGGGGAATGAGCCCGGCCAGGTAGTTGAAGTTTCAGTAGGTGATTACTTTGGGAATAGTGATCACAATTCCGTAAGTTTTACAATACTCATGGACAAAGATGAGAGTGGTCCTAAAGGAAGAGTGCTAAATTAGGGGAAGGCCAACTATAGCAAAATTCAGCAGGAGCTGGGGAATGTGGATTGGGAGCAGCTGTTTGAGGGTAAATCCACATTTGATATGTGGGAGACTTTTAAAGAGAGGTTGATGAGAGTGCAGGACTGACATGGCCCTGTGAAAATGAGGGATAGAACGGGCAAGATGAGGGAACATGGATGACAGGTGAAATTGTGAGACTAGCAAAGAGGAAAAAGGAAGCATACATAAGGTCTAGGCAACTGAAAACAGACAAAGCTTTGGAAGAATATCGGGAAAGTAGGACCAATCTGAAACGAGGAATTAAAAGGGCTAAAAGGGGTCACGAAATAGCTTTAACAAACAGGGTTAAGGCAAGTCCCAAAGCCTTTTATTCGTACATAAGGAGCAAGAGGGTAACTAGAGAAAGGGTTGGCCCACTCAAGGACAAAGGAGGGAAGTTATGTGAGGAGTCGGAGAAAATGAGAGATTCTTAACGAGTGCTTTGCTTCGGTATTCACCGAGGAGAGGGACATGACGGATGTTGAGGTTAGGGATAGATGTTTGATTACTCTAGGTGAAGTCGGCATAAGGAGGTGGGGTGGGGGGGGGGGGGGGGGGGGGGAGTGTTGGGTATTCTAAAGGGCATTAGAGTGGACAAGTCCCCAGGTCCGGATGGTATCTATCCCAGGTTACTGAAGGAAGCGAGTTAAGAAATAGCTGGGGCCTTAACAGATATCTTTGCAGCATCCTTGAGCATGGGTGAGGTCCTGGAAGGCTGGAGAATCGCTAATGTTGTCCCCTTGTTTAAGAAGGGTAGCAAGGATAATCCAGGTAATTATAGACCGGTGAGCCTGATGTCAGTGGTGGGGAAGCTGCTGGAGAAGATACTGAGGGATAGGATCTATTTACATTTGGAAGAAAATGGGCTTATTAGTGATAGGCCGCATGGTTTTGTGCAGGGAAGGTCGTGTCTTACCAACTTGATAGAATTCTTTGAGGAAGTGACAAAGTTGATAGATGAGGGAAGGGCTGGAGATGTCATATATATGGACTTCAGTAAGGCGTTTGATAAGGTTCCCCATGGTAGGCTAATGGAGAAAGTGAAGTCGCATGGGGTCCAGGGTGTACCAGCTAGATGGATAGAGAACTGGCTGGGCAACGGGAGACAGAGAATTGTAGTGGAAGGGAGTTTCTCAAAATGGAGAACTGTGACCAGTGGTGTTCCACAGGGATCCGTGTTGGGACCACTGTTGTTTGTGATATACACAAATTATCTGGAGGAAGGTATAGATGATCTGATTAGCAAGTTTGCAGATGACACTAAGATTGGTGGAGTAGCAGATAGTGAAGGGGACTGTCGGAGAATGCAGCAGA